TTTAAAAATATCAACTCCTAATTTTTTGTTCAAGAATTAATTGAATGGTTAGAATTAATATTTTTAAAGACTCCATACTTATGAAAGACTTGATTGACTCTTGATAATGGTATTATGATCCAAGTCTTCATCAATATCCTTGTGTTCAAATTGTAAAACGACTTTTTTAAAGACTTGATTGAGTTTTGGTCATGGTATTATGATCCAAGTCTTTGTCAATGCCCTTGTGTTTAAATTGTAAAACGACTTTTTTAAAGACTAGATTGAGTCTTAGTCATGGTATTATAATCCAAGTCTTCGTCAATGCCCTTGTGTTCAAATTGTAAAGCGGCCTTTTTTTTTTTGTCCCTTCTGAAGTTTCAACTAATATCAACTACACCATGTTTGTGATGAATGATGTTTACATATGAACTACTATTGTGATTAGGAAGTGATGTATGTATTAATACTTTATATTAATTTTCAATTTCACTAGAATTTTGCATGAAATGAATAGATGAGATTCATGGTATATTATCTCAAGAAAAATTGATGGGCTAAAATTTACTAATAAATGTAGTAGTCATTTAAGTAATAAAATAATAAAATAATGTATAAGAAGAGTGTCAAATCTACAAAAATTATAATTAATTAAGTATAAAAAATAAGTAATTTTAAAGTTATTTAAATAAATAAAAAGAGAAAAAATTTTAATTAAAACTAATTAAAAAATAACAATTTAAAACAAAAAAAAATATATTCATTAACACTTGACAAACAACAATGGAAAGTCATGTTGAGAAATGCCAAACATAGGAGCAGTATTTATGTTTCTACTTATTTCAATCTCTTAAAGATATTATAACTCATATGACTGTAGACAATAAGAAGTAAGGAAAAAGAACCATGTGAATATCTTTCCTCTAGAAAGCAAAAAATACTAAGATCAACCTTAAGATATTATTAAAGCAAAATAGAACTTCAAACTTCAAAGCTCTATTAGACTTTTTAGAGGATAGAATTACATTAATTTTACATTTATAATATGAGTAATGAAATAAAAAAAAAAACTGCATAACTATATAGAAAAAATATAAAATGGTAGTTTTCCTCTACACAACTTAAGGTAATATTTGATTATTTATTCTTTCATTATAGATAAAGAGTTATTCACTTCAGTAATAATATTAAAAATTATGTCAAAAAATTCTTA